AACATTCAATTTCAATTGTTTTGCCAATTTAAATTTAAAGCAGCATCTAGACTTACTATCAAGCCTCTATACAACCAAAAATCTTTTGTGGAAAGGAGTAGAAGACCAGGAGAAAAGTGGAGGAAGATGGCAACTCAATACACTGTTTAAAAAATACCTTTCCTGAGTGCTCTCAGTTTAGTAGGAAGTTGATGGCTTAAAGGGGTCTAAATAATGGGCCAGACTGAATTTCTTTGTCTCCAGGGACCTGTCCTGTTTTGACATCTGTTCCTGTAATCCTTAGGCAAAATCAAGTCTTTTGGAGTTGGGTCTATCAAATGACTTTCCACATGCTGTATTTATATGCCAGCCGTTTTTTGTCCCTGCATGATTTATGTGATGGAATATGTCTGCTGTGTTTCTGTTTTCTCTACAATCCATGGCATGATTGGCATTTTCATCTTTATAGGAAAAAAAAAGATTTTAGTGTAACTCATTTGTGAAGGCTTCCTATGAACTTTTCTGTCAGCATCTTTCAACTCAGTAAAATTCTGAATGTATCCAAGTAAGATATTTTTAAGGGAGGAAGAAAGCAACAACAACAGGACATTCTGTAAAACTGTGTAAGGTAGTTTGGTGTTTTTTTTGCTGTCACTCGTGCTGGATTCAGCCACTGCAAAACATCTGAATGTAAGGCCTGCTTTAAACATTTGAGGGGTTTTCAATGCTTGTGACATCAGGGTTTATGTAATGCCTATGGTGATGTCAGATCATCAGAAGGCCCAGAGGAATCCAAGCAGGTTCAGATGAAGTTCAATTTTTAAAAAAATACATCCACATCTGCTTTTTGCAAGCTTTTCCTCTCTCCCCGCTCCTCACTTTTTCTCATATCACCACCTTTAACCTCTAAATCATATTTAGAGGAAATAAATAATCCCTGGCTTGCTCCTACCAATTTGGGGAATGTGAAATGGATCAAGAATTCAAAGTCAGTCTTTAAAGGTGGTTTTACACAAAGGTCACATATTTGCTTGTGTGAATTCCCTAGTTTGCATGGATTTCATGCTTTGAGTCCCACTCATTGAGGGGTTGGTGTTTTAAGTCAAGGGGGTATTGGAATAATAATTAAAATATAACTGAGTATGCAAAATAGCAGGTTTACCCCACAGTAAACGTGTCCTCCTAATTTTTGGCACCATAACGACTGTATTTACTTCATTCCGTCATCTTGAACTGGACCCGTGTGGCTCTTATAGACGAGTGCATCTGTTTAACATCATCTGAAAACAAACAGAAGTGTTGTCAACTCTTCAGTTTCAAATAGATAAAGACAGTCAATCTGGAAATGGCAAGCACATGGAGTGCTTTCTTGTGGGGAGAAGTCCTGGAGGGGTCGATTTCTCAAGGGTAATGGAGATCTGTCTTTGAAGAAGGAATGATGGTTTGCTTCCTTCCCCTCTCACCCTGTTTATTTTGGATCAGCTACAGTAAGTCAACTCAGAGACTTGCCCTGCTCATTTTTTAGCATGGAACAAACATAGCTTCTGTTTGTTTGCTGATATTGTTTGTGGCCCTTGAACCCTGGATTTTCACTGACTTTACAAAAAGAAAGGCCGAGAGTGTTTTGTTTGTGTTTACCAGCATGCAGCCTGCTTGAAGAGATGTTTGTTTATGACCTCAAGCCCATTATGTTTGGAGAGAGGATTCCGATTGAATAAACAGGACCACAGGAAGGGAAGAGAAGTAGGTAGGTAAGGATGGACAGCTTTTGTGAACTTGGTGATGAATGAAGCCTTCATAGAGAACTACCTATTCTGGGACAATATGGGGAGCCTGTGACTGCTTGTTTAGCTCCTCTGATCTACCTTGGCCATTTGGGAATACCTGAAATTCAGAGGAAAATTGTCTTTATGTAAAATATTTCAGATAGTAAGTAAGAAATGGACATGACATCCAGATACCAAGGTCCATCTGATAGATCATATAACCTAACCCCCTCATTCCATGGATTAAGCAGGCCCAAAGAGGATGAATGATCCACTTCAGGTCAAGGAGAGGATAGTGGAGTCAAAATTTAGACTCATTTTCTCTAACTCCAAATCCTGTGCTAATGCATGAGAATAGAAAAAGGGATTTTGTGAGAGGAAGGAAGGGAAGAAAAGGTTTAAGGACCTAATTCCTCTTCTAAGGAATACTTAGTGTGCTCCACACTTTGGAGAGCTCAGTAGAATTGTTCATACTCTACAGATAATTCTGTTCACATTATTTTTTTTACCCAAAGTAAATGAACTCTTTTCTGAGCACTGTGGGTACTTCTAATAAATGGCACCTCTTTTCCCCTCCCACCCGCATGCCCTGGCTTGCTTAAGAATCAACAGCCAACAACAATGCTATTTATAATTGCTGTACTTGCTAATTTATGCCTTTCAGCATAAATTTGTTTGGGAGTGGGATGATGGCCCTAAAGAAAATAGCAGTGGAGAGAAGAAATGGAAAAATTAGTTATTTCCCAGTGAAGCTAAAAAAATTGAAAATTGCTGATTAAGTATTGAATGGATACCAATTCTGGCTCCTAGGCTGTTGGCATGTAAAGGTTTAGCACCTAAAAAATGCACATGGGAACTAGTTTTACAGTACTAAATCAGTCAAACCCATATTGTGTGGAAGGTGGGTTAACTCAGTGCCCAGAAATCAGCTAAAGGAAACCCCCCAAAAGGAGAATGAAATCCAAACTTGAATTAAACCACATTGGGTATGGAGGCCCTTTTATTCACACCTCTACATTTACATATTATATGCCAGAAAAACACACTGTGGGAAATTTCATACATACTTCAAAATTGTTCAGCATTGCTGTTTCTTGAGCTCCACCTGAAGCCAGAGAGTGAAACGTTTTAATTCCACATTTTACAGGTCAAATTTGGTACTTAATCTCCAGAGTACTGAGAAGGAAGATGGGTCTATATTTAAAGTAACCCTGAGCATTTCTTGCCAAGTACACTGGCCTTCTGCTGACCTAAGTGCTAGCTTTGTCTGATATCACAGAGATCAAAGAGAAATAGTGGAAAATCAACCCAAAATGTGGAAGTGCAGCTTCACTGTTTTCTACCATTTCATTATGGCATTAAGTTGTATTAATTGCTTCATTAGTGTATGGGTGTAAGAGTTACATTCACTGAGTTAAGTTGACAATTTCTCTTTTCTCTCTCTCCTTCTCTTTCCCTCTCCTAAAACTGGTTAGGAAAAAAGCACTTCAAGTATACTTCTAATAATCTCATAAGTACTATTATTTTTTTCCTTCTGATTACTAGGTAGTTCCCTTTATTTTCTCTTCTAATTTTCATCTTCCACTTCATTTTTACATTTCCAAACTGCTGAAGTAAAGCTCTAAAGATTTATGTTATTCATCAGCTTGGAATGTGATGGCTCACTCTGTCACTGGTGATAGATAGGATCACTGTTTTGTTTTGCTTATTTTTGGTCAATAAGTAAGGTTGGGCTTGGCTGAAAAGAAAATGATCTGGATTTCAACTGAAAAGAAGAGACCATCTAATTAAGGTGCTGAGAAAAAACCTTACTAATAATTATGATCAAGTGGCTGATGCCCAGTTCCATATAAGACCGAAAGAAACAAAATCTCTTAGACAAACCTCAAGACTTTGACATCACGGGGTATCTTTTGTGAGTAAAAGGATGGACACCAAAAGGAAAATATAAAAGCTGGTCAGGGACTGGAGAAGAAGATGCTAGAAGAATTCTACTGGGGTCTGCAGACTTGCTTTAAAAAAAAAAAGCAAATATTTTGTCAACTGTATTTCAACATAGTTGGCTTTCTATTTAATTCTATGCATTTTCTTTCACACATTTAAAAATAATTGTTCTGAGGAGGGGTCCCTCAGCTTCCTCAGACTTCCAAAAGGTTCCATAATAATATGCAATAACTAGCATTTAAATAATGCTTTAAGGCTCGCAAAGCACTTGACATTTGTAATCTCATTTGATTTGATCCTCTCAACAACCCTGTGGTAGGTGCTATTATTACCTACATTTTACAGATGAGGAAACTGAAGCTTAGGAAGGTTAATGACTTGCCCAGGGTTACATAGCTAACAAGTATATGAGAGAAGACTAGAAGTCAGGTCATCTTTACTCCAAATCCAGTTCTCTATCCCTTGTTCCAGGGAACTGCCTGAGTTAGGTCCATGCTGCAGAAAAGGCTTAGAATCCCTGACCTATAGGATAGAAAATGCTAGTAAATCCACCACTTCCGTTGCCATAATGGCCAAACAGGATTGACTATACAGATGATCTCATTGATTATGCAGAAAGTAGTTGTTAGGATAGCCTTAAAAGAGGCTATCTTAAAAGGAAGTTGATTCTATGTTCTCTCAGGGACAAGGCCTAAGCTCACTGCTGGACTCTTACCGTTCACTTGTCTACTAAAAGGTGTGAATACACTAAAGATGGCACACGGTATAACAGAGGCTTTTGTGTTTTGAATCGTTTATGATCAGGAGAATATCTTCAATTCTCAAGGTGCCTGACAATTCCATACCAGTATCTAGGGGAGAGTGAGCTGAAAATGCTTGGCCAGGGCAAGATTTTTCCTTTTAGAGACTCATTGCTGACATAAAGTCTCCCCAACAAGAGATGGAGATGTTAAACATAAGACCAGTGAAGAAAGGTAAAGCAACTATCCAAAAAAATGTGTTTGCATGTATGTTTTTAAGAGATTATTCCTCTAAAAATGTCCCCTTTTTGCCAGCTTTCTACGGTATTTACGCAGAATCTACCAAGGCTCATGAGTTTTCAAAGAAGTTGCAATTTCCTGTCAGAGTTCTAGCAAATCCCTGTAAACAGCTGTAGACGGAAATCCAGCTACTTCTGTAATGAATGACCTCCAGTGTTTGGAACCCAAAGAGTAAACAAACATTTGCTCTCCTGAGAAACCCTGTCCTGGACATAACATTAACATTTCTGTGTTTTACCTCCCCTTGACAGTTGGCTGGGACCAAACATGGTGACTGCCCAACAATCAGTTCTTGGTGAAAATGAAAGTGAATTGAATATCCCAGAAGTTCTTCTCCACACTTAAGAGGTACAAATGCTAATAGTGTAATCTCAAAGGCCCCTTCCAACTTAATAGTCTGTAACTCTCAGAGTCTGAGGGTGGTGGTAATATAGGGGACATCAGGTTAAAATTGAAAAGACATGCTCCACATTTTTCCCCCTCTGTGTTTGTTTTACCTTTCAGGTCACTAGTTTCCATAAATTCTCCGTGTCTTAGCAGCATAGAGGATATTTTTAAACACAGCTCTTATGCTAGAGTGTACATTAAATATTTGTTCAGCTGATTAAAACAGTTCTACATTTATTTAATGTTTGAACAGTAAACAGTTTATTGAAAACTGAAATGTCTTTTTATACACACACACACACACACACACACACACACACACACACACACCTCTCATTAGATAGGCCTCTGTTATTAGGTTTCTCAACTTGTATTATCAAGTATAAGCAGAATTCAGATAAACATACTTTTCATAGGTGCTTAACTCCCACAGAGGGGTGGGGCTCTGGCTAGGCCTACTCTTGGTCTACAGGCAGGAATCCATGATAGAGGGCAGAAACCAGGACAATATACAGGAATAAATGAATAAATGACCAAGATGGTAAGTGGTTTCAAATCAGAATCACAATTTCCCACTAAATATTTATTTTAGCAGAAAATAAAATAAAAACAAAACAAGCTAGTCTCAATGTTAGTGATAGTGTAGACATGGTATCAGTAGTAGTAGTAGTAGTAGTAGTCGTCGTCATTGTCCTTGACTTTTTATTCATAAAACAATCAATCAATAAGCCTCTATTGATTTCTGCCAGGTGCTGTTCTAAGTACTGGGGGTATGGTACAAAGGCAAATGTAGAACAATGTTTGACTTCAAAGAACTTACAATCTAACTGGAGAGATAACACATAGAGGAAAATATCAATATGTAGGTGTATGCAAAATTTTTTTTGGGAAAAGAAGCGAGCAATTGGCAGAATCAGGAAAGTCTTTATGTAGAAAGTTAGTGCTCGATGTCAGTCTTAAAGGAAATGGATTCTAAGATCCCTCTTGAAGGAGGGTTCTAAGAGATGGAGGTGAGAAGAATGTGTTCTAAGCATTGGCTTAGAACACATCTGGAAGTGGATAGCAGTTTTTTCATCAAGCCTCCTTTGGAATTATCTTGGATCATTGCATTGATTGGAATAGTCATTTTTCACAGTTGATCGTCATTATATTATTATTGCATACAGTCCTTCTCACTTCACTTTGCTTCATATAGATATTTCCATGTTTTCCTGAAACCATTACCCTGGTCATTTCTTCAGCACAATCATATACCACAATTGTTCAGACATTCTCCTATTGACAAGCATCCCTTCAATTTCCAATTCTTTGCCACTTCCAAAAGAGCTGCTTAAATATTTTTGTACAAATATGCCCTTTTCCTTTTTCTTTGATCTTTTTGGATAAAAGGGTATGCACAGTTTTATAGCCCTTTGGGTATAATTCCAAATTGTTCTCCAGAATGGTGGACAGGTTCACAACTCAACCAACATTACATTAGTGTCCCTATTTTCCCTCATTCCCTTCAGCATTTTTTCTTTTCTGATAGATACAAGGTGGTACCTCAGAGTTGTTTTAATTTGCATTTCTCTAATTAATAGTGATTTAGAGCATTTTTTTCATATGACTATAGATAGCTTTGCTTTCTTCTTCTGAAAACTACCTGTTCATATCCTTTAGCCACTTATCAATTGGGGAATGACTCTTATTTTTATAAATTTTACTCAGTTCTCTTTATATTTAAGAAATGAGGCTTTTATTAGAGAAACTTGCTATAATTTTTTTTGATATCACTTCATTATCTATCGTACCTTTTACTAAAATGTAGTTTTCCTGATTATCTCTTTTAATTGGGTTTATTTTTGTTTTTGCTTTGTCTGAGATGATGATTGTTATATTCTGCTCCAGGTGCAACTAGGTGGCACAGTGGATAGACCACTGGGCCTGGAGTCAAGAAGACCTGAGTTCAAATCTGGCCTCAGATATTTACTAACTATGTGACCCTGGGCAAGTCCCTTAACCATGTTTGTCTGAATTTCTTAATCTTAAAGCTGGAGAAGGAAATAGCAAAGCACTCCAGTATCTTTGCCAAGAAAACCCCAAATGGAGTAATAAAAAGTTGGACAAGTATCAACAACAATAAAACCTCTGCCTTTTTACTACGGCTAAAGCATGATAGATTCTGCTCCAGCCCCTTATTTTAACTCTTTGTGTGACTTTCTGTTTGAAGTGTCTCTTGTAAACAACATATTTTTGGATTCTGGTTTTTAATACTTTCTGCTGTTCACTTGTTTTATGTGTGAAATCATCCCATTCACATGCATAGTTACGATGACTTAACTTTAAATTTCATTCCATCCCAATTTCTTTTGTTTATCCTTTTTTTTTCTCTTTTTATCCTGTCACTCCTCAAAAGTATGCTTTGCTTCTGACCACTACCTCCCTTATTCCACATCCCCTTTAATCACCCTCCTTCCCTGCTTTTTTCCCTTTACCTCCTATTTCTCTTTTGGGTAACAGAGATTTCTATACCTAACTGAGTGTGTGTGTGTGTGTGTATGTGTGTGTGTGTGTGTGTACATACGTACATACATATATACGTAAATGTATTCTTACCTCCCTTTCTGATGAGAATGAGGTTCAAGTATTGTCCTCCATTTCCCCTCCCCTGTAAAAGCTCCTTTTGTGTGCCTTTTTTATGTGAGAAAAATTTCCCCATTCTGCCTCTTGCTTCTTACTTCTCCCAGTGCATCTCTATTTCTCAAACCCTTCTTTTTTTGTGTGTGTGAAGAATCTCAACATAATGAAATCACCCTCTACGTAGACTCCTTCTAAATGCCCTAATAATGAAAAAGTTCTTAGGAGTTATATGTATCATCTTCCCATATAGGAATGTAAGCAGTTTAACTTTATTGAGTCCTTTATGATTACTCTTTCATGTTTACATTTTTATGCTTCTCTTGAGTCTTGTGTTTGGAGGTCAAATTTTCTATTTAGCTCTGGTCTTTTCATCAAAAAAGCTTGAAAATCTTCAGTTTCATTACATTTCCATTTTTCCCCTGAAGGATTCAGTTTTGCTGGGTAGGTTATTCTTGGTTGTAATTCTAGCTCCTTTGCCTTCCAGAATATCATATTCTAACCCCTACATTCCTTTAATGTGGAAGCTGCTAAATTGTGTGTGATCCTGACTATGGTTCTATGATATTTGAATCATTTCTTTCTGGAAGCTAGCAATATTTTCTCCCTGAACTGGGAGCCCTGAAATTTGGCAATAATATTCCTGGGAGCTTTCATTTTGATATCTCTTTCAGAAGGTCATAAGTGGATTCTTTCAATTTTTATTTTACCCTTTTGATCTAAGTATCAGGACAATTTTCCTATATAATTTCTTGAAATATGATGACTAGGCTCTTTTTATCACAGTTTTTGGGTAGTACAATAATTCTAAAATTATCTCTCCTTGATATATTTTCCAGGTCAGTTGTTTTGCCAGTGAGATCTTTCACAATTTTGTTATATTTTTTTCATTCTTTGACTTGGTTTTATTGCTTCTCGATGCCTTATGGAGTCATTACCTCCCACTGACCCAATTTTAATTTTTGGGAATTATTTAGTGAGCTTTTTACCTCTTCTCCCCAACCCCAGTCCCTAGTTTGGCCTATTCTGCTTTTTAAAGAGTTCTTCTCTTTAGTGAAATTTCCTGCCTCTTTTGCCATTAGGCCAATTCTGTTTTTTAAGGCATTTTCTTCAGTATTTTTGTGCCTCTTTTACCAAGCTGTCATTTCTTTTTTTCACATTTTGTTTGCATTGCTCATATTTCTTTCCTCCATTTTTTCCACTACCACTCAATCTCTTTCTTTAACTCTTCCTGGAATTCTTGTTGGGCTTGGGTCCTATCAGCATTTTTCTTTCAGGTTTTGCTTGTAGTTGTTTTCATGTTATTGTCTTCTGAGATTGTGTTGGTCTTCCTTGCCATTGTTTTTTGTGGTTAAATTTTGTTGGTTTATTCATTTTTCTAGCTTATTTCTTGACTTTGAACTTTATGTAAAAGTTGTGCTCTGCTCATTTGGGGTGGAGAAGCCCTATCTTATGCTTCAGAATATTTTGTGCTGATATTTCCAAAGCTAGTTCTAGGAGTGTGCAAGTTTTCAGTGCTTCCAAGGTGGTGGGAACCAGGGAGAGGTGTGGTCATTTTTCTCCTGGTCTACACTCTGGTCTTTACCCAGCAAAGGTCTCTTCTCCCCTGTATCATCAAGAGCTAGTTCCTCTCTTTGCCTTGGAAATATGACTAGGGCCCTTGTTCCATTGTGACCAACCATTAATGTTCCTCTTCGCTTTGGAACTGTGATTCAGAATTCATATGGACAATAGAGTTGCCAATCAGTGCCAACTTACCCAATGCCAGCAAAACATCCCCTGCAATCTCTTCCTGACCAGTGTTCACTCCCCTTACTGTTTCTGGGCTGAGAGCTGCTGAAGTTGCTGCTGATACTATTGTGGCATTCACCAAGGCCTGCTACGGATGCTAAGCAGCATGAGCTCTGGACTGGCTTCCACCCCTGTGTCACAGACTTTTCCTGCTAATCTAAATTTTCTTCGGCTGGAAAAATGTTTTACTCTGACCTTTTAGTGGCTCTGCCACTCCAAAATTTGAGTTGAGGGACAATTTAAAAGTTGTTTGGTGGGGAATATTGAGAGAGTTTAGCTGGATTACTGCCCCTAATCTGCCATTTTGGCTCTGCTCATCCAAATATAAGATCTTCTGTTTGGCTTTTAAAGCCCTTCAAAACCTGGCTTCCTCCTACTTTTCTAGTCTTCCTATGCCTTACTTCCCTTATTCTGCTATTCAGTGAACCTGATGTCATTTTGGTTCTTCAAATAGGACGCCCCATTTCTCAGCTCTGTGCCTTTTCCACTGGCTGTTCTCAATGCCTAGAATTTTCTTCCTCCTGGCTCCCTTGACTTTTTCAAATCTCAGCTAA